ATCCCTGTGTCTCTGTCATTACAATAGAAAGTCATGGCACTCACTGGTACTGCCTATGAAAGGCACAGAGCTCACATAAAGCTCTAAATACACTCAGAAAAAAAAAAACCCTGTTCCATCTGTGTTCATGCTGCATCGTCTGAGCTTGTGCAGTGTCTGTAATATCAAACCCTCTCCAAACTACACCAAGACCCCAGAGCAGTGTCAGTGCATGCAAGTGTGCAGAACACTTTGCTTTCCGATTACAGGGCTCTGGCTGGCATATCATACTCCTCACAGAACTCTCTGCAATGCTGGCACAAGAAACCACTGAATCACCATGGCACTGTCTGGGTCACTACCAAAAGGAGTGCAGGTGTATGGTGCTGGTCTGGCTCTGGAAAGAAAACATGCATGTTTACAGTTTTCGTTTCCCAGCAGCTCTGGTGGTCAGATCTCTTACTGGCAGTGATGTTAGCTGAGGGGGTGAACGTGCAGACTGTCATTGCTCCTGTACCTACACGATTCAAACACACCAGCTGTTGCTCGTACTGGTGCAGCCAAGTGCCCCGAGAGCAGTCACCTGATCCAAGTTTCTATTAGTGCATGATGTAAACAGCATTTCGGTACCTGCTGTGAGTATCTGGAGTGTCAACTCGTGCACAAAAGTTATGTAACTCAGCTGAACTGCAGCCTAAGTTAGCTTTCAGGCTAACTTATTCACCAACACACTCACCTCGGTCTTGGTTATCCGGTGTCGGGCCAGCTTCACGACAGCGAAATTGCCCTTTCCTAAAGTGCGCTCGATGTCGTAGAAGCCCACTCGGACCGGACCCCGGATCAGCGGTTTCTGGACACTGTCAGCCATGACCATGCTGTTCTAAAAGGGTCTGTTTGTGGAAGAGCAGGAGGTAGCCAGACGAGCAGGGACACACGGGGGCACTCTGGCCCTGGTCAAAGTCACTCAGATCCTTTAAACTTGTCTGTTTTTCCTGCTTCCAACACATCAACTTCAAAGATCGAATAAGTGTGTCCATTAAAAATAGACAAAGTTGATTTCTGTGTCACCCTGCCAGCTTAAACGTCAATGTGGCGGCACTCTCCGTCAGTGCGGCGGTACGAAGCAGGCCATTTGCTGAGCCCGGGGTTTGTCACGCGTCCTCCAGTACAATAGAGCTATAACATTTCAGATCGAGGCGCCTCTATCAGCTACAGGGAACACGAGTTGACTTGCAAAGAGGCATCATGTTTTCGGGTTGACGTCTATTGACGTCAAAGCCATAGGGGTATTTGTACAGGGGGCGGGGCCTCAGAGCCGCTCCACACTTCAGTGCCAATTGGTTGCCAAGACAACTAGACCCACCTCTTACGTCAACTGGTAAAATTGCTATTCTGAAACCTGTTTGCTTGTCTGCCCTCCTTGATTGCACTAATAGGTAACTTTGAAGTTTGCCATGCAGGTGGTACGTGCGCTTTTGTCGACTGCAGGTGAAAAACGCAGGGACAATGGTAAAATTTATTCCACAGCTGCACGAAACTGACACGTGTATACCTCATACTAACGTGCTGTGCAAGAATGAATGGAAAAAGTAGATTTTAACAAAACAATATTTTGCCAATGAAATGAAAACATTCCTTATCATGTCTGCTTTTAGTTATATAATCCAATCACAAAATGCAATGGTCATTACAATTCCCATAGTAATATATCATAATGTATATACACTTATATAATGTAACATGCAAGACCTCTTGTGAAACCAGACATTTTATCAGCAACAAAAACACTTTGGTCAGCTACATAACAGCGCCATCTGTTGGCAAAAATAAAAAAACGAAGCAAAGGCAGGTTAAGATTCCAAGACTTGGGAGTAGCAGTCCAGTAGCTTTCCAATCGTCTATATGTTTCCCTTTACCTTAGTCAAGGTCAAAGGTCAAGGTCAAAGTGTTTGTCATATGCACAGTTACGAAACGTGTTTCCCTGTACAATGAAATTCTTACTTTGCCGTCCACATGAATGCCACATAAAACAAGTTAAATATAAACTAGATGAGCAACAACACAAACCTAAATAGGCAGTAACACAAATCTAAGGCACTTTAAAGCAGCAGGTGAAGGAAGCTAATAAATATACAACAGGAACATAATATAATGCAGAGAGTGTGCAATTATGCACTCTGCTGTAGTGTATGGGTTAATCCTACAACTCTTCCACTTTCTTTCCCTCTGATCCAGTTGTGTTTTGTGATGCTTAAAATATCCACAACCTTACTCTTCACCCAATTAACCCTTCCTACTCCCGAGTCTTGGCATCTAATGTTTACAATTTCCATTTAAAAGCTGGTCTCAGTTAGGACTATTAGAAACAAGCATTTTGCATAGGCTATATACATCAAATGTTTCAAAGACACTCCCCTGCACACTTCTAGTAATAAAAGAATATACTATATTATTATTAAATAAGGAATGCAACCACAGTATCTTGTAACTTTATTTAGTACCCAGAAATGTTGTCATGTTTGAGATGTATCACATGCTCACACCCAGTGGTGGTTCTATAAGCCCATGCAGTCTAACAGAGAGCAGAGGATTGCTAAGTGGGCAGGTCGAGCAGTGCTCTGAAGGCCTACGCTGTCACGCATAGACTTCCTGAATGTAAGAGTTCCAGATGTGCTTTTGGCATTTCCTGTCTAACATTCTCCAAGAACACACTCAGCTTCTCCTTACTCTTGCTACATCTTTCCAGGACACAGACCCAGCAGCTCACTCACTACATATTTAGAAACAACATTTGTATTCAGTAATGTACAGCTAGGATAATTTTACACATTTACAAGACAAACATATGGTTTTACAGGAACACACTGACAAGTAAATCCATGACATATTCAGAATTGCTTATTGTACTGTTAGATTAGTGAGAGGGCTGAGTTTCTCACACAGTCAGGTGGAACTGGGAAAGCCCACAGCTTTGAGGTTTACTGGAGTCGGCAGAGCTCTGTCATCACTGTTTCCACATGTACTGTCCGAAGAGGAAGCCTTACACAGGGCTTGACACCACTCATCAGCTTTAAAGAAAAAGGTCGCAATCGTTCCTCTAGAGGACAACGCCACAGCAGTAGAGAGCCAATGGAATAATTCTGTTCTTGTGTCTCACAATTTCCGGTGAGGTTATTGGAAAACGACTGAGTAGTTTAATTTTAGACTGTTTACAAGATGAGTAACCATGCCTGAGTCCTTAACATTTGCACTTATGAAATTCACCACAATAAACGCAGCATCACTACTGCACCAACAAAATGCCTTTTTGAAACCAAAACCTGCTTTGACGTTACGTAGTTTGTCAGATGTTATGGTTAAAGCTAGACAAAGGAAAAAACAGGATTCAAGACAAATGTAATAAAAATTTATTTTCTTATAGTTCTGACATAACTGTCATGCTTTAAATCTCATGAGATTTGTAACTGATTGATATTGAAGGATTTTTAATAATAAAATATATTAAATAAACTTGAGATATATTAGAATTTTTTTGTTATTTGTTGTTGTTTTTTGTTTTTGTTATGACTCTAATGATCCCCTGGCTTCTTACCTATTTAATATGAAATATCTACAAAACCTTCCCATCAGCCTCAGCTGTATTTCCTGTTTAGCCTTAATTAGCTAATGTTAGCATACTGATGAAGATGGTGAACATGGTAATCATTATACCTGTAAAACCTGAGCATGTTATCATGCTGATGCATGTAGCTCAAGCACCACTGTGCCTCAGTGCTGCCTCACAGCACCACTAGCATAGCTGTAGACTTTTGTGTTGTATAATAATAACATGTATTAACTATATATTCATTGATTTGTATAACCCATCTACTCTTGAATCCAAAGGTACAGTATGTCATGCTCAGATCTGATCAGCAATTTGAGAACTATATTGCCGTGGATTTGGAAAGTTCGGGGCCTAAATAATGGAACCATACTATAAAACACTTTTGGAAACTCTACTGGAAGCATAATCCAACTTTTTTTTCTGACTTTAGATGCTGGATGTTCAGGACTTAGCACTGGAGATACACATAATAGATAGCTCTATCTTCAAATAACTGAAAACTAGGCCCAACAATGACATGTTTAGTAATCCTGTGCTACAAATGTAATCAGTAAGGTGTACAGTAAGAGGGAGATGGAGAACTTCATGTTTCTCTGACGAATTACTAGGGCAAGTCTGGGATTGCTAGGGAATCAGAGGCAACTCAATGAATAAAAAAAGCACTATGAGTGGAGAAGAAACAGAAAGATTCTTCACTATAGTAGGACTACAGGTGTATGACTGACGAGTAAATAGGACAGATCACAGGCTGCTAGGGAATCTAAAGGTACCTGTTAAATAAGAAAGTACACCCATCTCTTGCATTAAAAGTACTCAGAGGTTAGTCTTGAGAAGACTCAGGAAAAAGGGTACAAGGTATATTGAGAACAGAGAGAATCCGCAGTCTGCCACAGCTGTCGTACAAGTTATAGGACTGTTTAGCAGACTGTGAAATTTTTCGGAAGAAAGTACCCCCGCCTCCGGTGCAATTTACTCAAAGGTTAATCTTGGGAAGACTAATGAAAAGGGGTACAAAGTATACTGAGAACAGAAAGAATCCACAGTCTGCCACAGCTATTCGAAAAGTACTAGGTCTCAACAGCTGCATGTTGATACTTTGTGCTGTCGTGTAACTGTTGCTTTTAATTTGTGTTTAATGTTTTATCTATTTGTGTGCATTATGTTAAGCACTTTGAATTGCCTTTGTGTACAAAAATGTGCTATATAAATGAACTGGCCTTCCCTTGCTTTGCCTCTGTCTAGCTGGGTCACACTCATTAACTTGTAAAGGACTTGCACACAGGAGTTCTAACAGTTCCGCTTGCCAGTGTAGGAGCACTATTTCAGGAGATGCTCCCATGGGTCATATGAGATGGAAGGAACAAGCAACCATATACCGTATAGGTTGGAGGGACAAACACCAGAGAGACATCAACAGCGTTATCCATAGATCTCATTTTCCACCCAACCAGTCTGACTGTGGCACTGCTGGCTTTGAGCTCTGCAGGTCTCATAAATGTCGTTGGTCACAAAGACGCTCGCCTTGTCCGTGCATGACACATTCTCATAATCGTCACACTGGGAAGTCTGGAAAGGAGCCCTAGAGCACTTTGTCATGATGCCTTCTGACATGCTGCTATCCAGAGCAGTGTGAGACAGTTTGGTGATGTCGCTGAAGGCGTAAGGTCCTTGTATGGGGCAAGGTGAAGCTGCTGTTGACATCCACTGTTTTGATCCGCTGGGAGAGAGCTCTGTTTCTGGCTTTCTCCTGAAAATGATATTAAAAATAACACAGTGGTGTAATCATAACATCTCTTAAAGGGAGACAGTAAAATTAATATTTTACAGGCCATGGAATTTGATGAGTTATATATACTGTAAAAGATATATTCCACAAATGCACCAAAATATCAACTTCCTCTGCAAAAAAAAGATGCTTTAAGTACTTAAAAAGCCCATGGCCTGCTTTTCCTTGTTTTCTGACTTACAGTGGGTACGGAAAGTATTCAGACCCCCTTAAATTTTTCACTCTTTGTTATATTGCAGCCATATGCTAAAATCATTTAAGTTAATTTTTTTCCTCATTAATGTACACACAGCACCCCATATTGACAGAAAAACACAGAATTTTTGACATTTTTGCAGATTTATTAAAAAAGAAAAACTGAAATATCACATGGTCATAAGTATTCAGACCCTTTGCTGTGACATTCATATATTTAACTTAGGTGCTGTCCATTTCTTCTGATCATCCCTGAGATGGTTCTACACCTTCATTTGAGTCGAACTGTGTTTGATTATACTGATTGGACGTGATTAGGAAAGCCACACACCTGTCTATATAAGACCCTACAGCTCACAGTGCATGTCAGAGCAAATGAGAATCATGAGGTCAAAGGAACTGCCTGAAGAGCTCAGAGACAGAATTGTGGCAAGGCACAGATCTGGCCAAGGTTACAAAAAAATTTCTGCTGCACTTAAGGTTCCTAAGAGCACAGTGGCCTCCATAATCCTTAAATGGAAGACATTTGGGACGACCAGAACCCTTCCTAGAGCTGGCTGTCCGGCCAAACTGATCTATCGGGGTAGAATAGCCTTGGTGAGAGAGGTACACAAGAACCCAAAGATGACTGTGGCTGAGCTCCAGAGATGCAGTCGGGAGATGGGAGAAAGTTGTAGAAAGTCAATCATCACTGCAGCCCTCCACCAGTCGGGGCTTTATGGCAGAGTGGCCCGACGGAAGCCTCTCCTCAGTGCAAGACACATGAAAGTCTGCATGGAGTTTGCTAAAAAACACCTGAAGGACTCCAAGATGGTGAGAAATAAGATTCTCTGGTCTGATGAGACCAAGATAGAACTTTTTGGCCTTAATTCTAAGTGGTACGTGTGGAGAAAACCAGGCACTGCTCATCACCTGTCCAATACAGTCCCAACAGTGAAGCATGGTGGTGGCAGCATCATGCTATGGGGGTGTTTTTCAGCAACAAGGACAGGACAACTGATTGCAATCAAGGGAAGGATGAATGCGGCCAAGTACAGGGATATCCTGGACGAAAACCTTCTCCAGAGTGCTCAAGACTTCAGACTGGGCCAAAGGTTCACCTTCCAACAAGACAATGACCCTAAGCACACAGCTAAAATAACGAAGGAGTGGCTTCACAACAACTCCATGACTGTTCTTGAATGGCCCAGCCAGAGCCCTGACTTAAACCCAATTGAGCATCTCTGGAGAGACCTGAAAATGGCTGTCCACCAACGTTTACCATCCAACCTGACAGAACTGGAGAGGATCTGCAAGGACGAATGGCAGAGGATCCCCAAATGCAGGTGTGAAAAACTTGTTGCATCATTCCCAAAAAGACTCATGGCTGTATTAGCTCAAAAGGGTGCTTCTACTAAATACTGAGCAAAGGGTCTGAATACTTATGACCATGTGATATTTCAGTTTTTCTTTTTTAATAAATCTGCAAAAATGTCAAAAATTCTGTGTTTTTCTGTCAATATGGGGTGCTGTGTGTACATTAATGAGGAAAAAAATGAACTTAAATGATTTAAGCATATGGCTGCAATATAACAGAGTGAAAAATTTAAGGGGGTCTGAATACTTTCCGTACCCACTGTATCTACAATGCTACAACATTGAATTATCATCTTAGACATGACCTAAAGCTCAAAAAATGAGGTGTTCTAGTACTTCTATAGAAAAGTAACTTGGGTTATACACATCTTGCAAACTCTCGCTTGCGAAACTTTTTTTTCTAACAAAATTAAATATTATGTGATAGTTTAAGAATTTCCTTGAATGGGCATAAAATCCAGGCCATTGTGTGATTATGTGAGCTTGCCTGACATCCACCGGTGCCCCACCATATTGGCAAAATGTTATATTGCCTTGTTATGTGTATTTTTAATAAAGCTTATTTAAAAAAAAAAAAAGAAGACATCCACGGTGCCATTGTAAAAGCAGAAATTTTTGACTGCATGTGGTTTTGTTAATATATTTTACCTCCTCCTGCTCCACTGTAACCAGAGGGTGTTGAAAAAAAATACAGAGCCTGAGGTTACAGCATGTCCAGGAATGCTCCTGTACAGGGACTTGCTGTTTTACCTGACTGGGTCTAACCTACAAACAGCTGCCAGTGAAGCCCCCGTGGCGGTGAATGATCAGCTCATCAACGCTGAATTCCCCCAGAACACAGTACCTGTTTGTTTTGACTGCTTGAGGCCAGTGTGTCTGTCATGTGATGTGATGTGTTGCTGGTTAACAAGCAGGATTAACAATCCATGATGTTATTACCGGCGCTACACTACCTGTTGGAATTAATTTCAATACTTTGGGACGGTATGTGGTCATGTGGGAGAAGACACAGTGACCACTGGTTGGATTTACCGACCTTGGAGTTACTTGAAAGGGAGTGATGTTTCCACTACTCAGTGGGACTTAATGGTAAGTTTAAAAAAACATACATTGCATGTCTGTTAATGCCTGGTTTCTGTAATGTTGGAGAGAATTGTTGTAAGGCTGGCGAAGTTACCATGTCTGCATTATGCCAGTTAAAATATGGGGTTTCTCCATTACCTGCTTAGAGTACCCGTTCAGTGTTATACATCTCTTTTCATCGGTACATATACTGTTGTTTAATTATCTATGTAGGAGAAATTAATTCATGCTGTTGAGGTTCGTTGTACTGTCCACTTACAACACAACACCAATAGCAGAAGACGCTCTCTGGTTTTATCATTCTGAAATAATTCCAGACTATTTGAAGTTATGAGGGGCACAAAGCTAATCTAGAGGTACCCAAGATTAAACATTAAATGGATGGAAATGAGTAAAATGAGAAGGCCATGAGCACTTTAAATGATAAGGTTGGTCATTCTGACTCCGTGTGAGCTCTCTGCTTTCTTACAGGCCACCAGCTCCTCATGTTTTCACACAGCTCTCGCACATGTGCAGCTAAAAAATGTGCTGTAAAAAATAATGACCTTTAGTAACTTCTGGGGCAAACTTTTTAACAAATATTTGGGTTTTCTGTTTCGTAATGAAGAAACATGTCACTGATGTGCTTTTAGGCATTTCTGAACTGATCCAGGATGGAGCCTGACAGACATTAACTTAACTGTAACTAGAGGCAATTCATTGTTGGTTTTAGTCTCTGTACTGAGAATGGTGAAAATACAGAAAATGACCGACCTTGTCCTTTAATATGCTGTTTATTTTTTTGCATCCAGAAACACAATGTTTTACATTGTTCTCAGGTTTAAGTATACAGTATGGTTTTTTGTATAACAGTTTATACTTTCCTGATTTTACCTCTTAGCATGCTGTCTGTAGCAGAGGAACCCACCAGCTGCAAACAGCAACAGCAGTAGAGCAGGAATAATTGCATAAAGGATGTAGGAAACATGCAGGGTGTCTGAGAAAGATACTGCAACAAAAAAAGCACAGTAACATAAATTCTTTAACATGACCTTTATCCATGAATAGTTAGGGCACATTGTGATGTTAATTTTAAAACACAGAGGACATTAACTGGCCTCAAGAATAAAATATGACATTTCCTTTTGTCTTCTTACCTGATGACTCAGGTAGTTCTATTTTTATCCTTTCATCACTTCCTGTAGTTGTGAATAGGTTTGGCCTCAGAGATGGAACTGGAGCAATTACAAAACAAGCGCTGTATATAATAAATTCCATGTATTGTGCTTATAATTGTTTGTATTTCCCTGTGTGCATATCTTTCTTATTAGATTATATGATCACATGCATCTCTATGTAATTTAGTTTTTCAGAATATGTAGGATATATTGTACAAGTTTTGAGCATTCATTCATTCATTTTTGTCAGACCTATTAGTTGTACTTAAAAAAAATCTACAGTATAATGTAAACAATCTAATCCCTTCATACATTTTGACCACTAGAGGTTTTTGATGTACAAAAAAGGAAGCTGATAAAATACATATAAAACTGTTAAAAATAATTATTTGGTGATTTATTGTGATTTTTCTGGATCTAACTACAGTATGTTGTATGTTGTACCTGCATGTGCTGTCTTCCCTTCTTCTGTAAAAACGGGTACTTTTTCTGTTAAAACAGAGAAAGTAAATAAATTAGCCTTATATAGTCACTCACCCAGGTTTGTTAAATGCTGATTCACTTATTAAATACAATAGTAAAGTCATGATCAGGCTAGGCTGCTAATGTTACCAAAACAAACACATCATGTCATGTACTGTCGACCTGCACTGTTTACATTCTCAGTTTGCACATGCATAATTGCACATTGACCGTTGACTACTGCACATACAGCTCCCATGCAGCATACACTCCCTTATTACATTCTTATATATTTTTATTATATTTCTGCATTTGCTGCTTAAAGTGCCTTAGATTTTGTGTTACTTATTCATCTACTTTATATTTCATTTGTATTTTGTGGCATTCATGTGGACAGCAAAATAAGAATTTCATTGTACAGGGAAACACGTTTCCTAACTGTGCATATGACAAATAAACACTTTGACCTTGACATTAGCTTTAGATGCTAACGCATTCAGAAGGAAGAATCCCACATCTGAATTAATTTGAGTCCTTTGGCTGTTTTTAATGCTCCTCTCAAAAAACCAAACTGATGTTAATCTTTCTTTGTCCTACTCTGTGCAAAAGAACATGGCCTCTTCTGTCTGGCAGCCACTGTTTCAGACTTTTAACTAACAAGAGGTCCTCTGTGACTGGCTGTGTGAAATAACTACTCACAGCTTGATAAATATTTCTCATAATCTTTGCTAGGTGGCAGGTGGGGTTAATTTAGGGACTGGATAACATGGGGTAGAGAAGCTGGAGTAATGACTCCAATAACTGGTATAGCTGAGAGACACCATGTCCTGTCCCACTTTCACTTGATTTATCAGACAATGTGTAAAATCTTAGTTAATACGCCTTTAAAGTATGAGGTACACCTTAAACACAGGCAGATATAATCTGTTAGGTTGATAAAAACACAAGCATTACATCTGTATCCAGGCAACCAACATTAAAACTGCATATTGAGTGTTTAGTGCTAGCTGTTGACAGCAATGGCCATGTTTTGGTAACGGTCTTTGGAAATTAAAATTTATATTTTGTGGGTTCAAAAACCAAACAAAACTGAGAGTGCTAGTAACTCCCAGCACTGCACAGCCGGTACAACAGCACAGTGTGTGTGTATGTGTCTGCTGGCTCACTTTCTGGGTATTTGCAGACAAAGTTGTTCTTGGAGTTGCAGTTGTCGTCATTCCACTGGAACAGGAAATGACCTTCATCAGGTGGTATAGAGGGTTGGTGGTACAAAACCACACACATTTCACCACCACATGATGGCTCATCCCAATGCCAGTTCCTACACCAAATAAGATGCACAAGTTCAGGCTCCTTTTAACATTTAGACTGGACAATTTTACTACATCGTCAGTTTCCTTATTCTTGATAACTGTGGACTGAGGACTGTGGACCCTCTATCACATTTACACAAGCATTTAATACAATCGTATAAGTAGTGAAATGTAAAAAAAAAAAAAGAAATATAAACACCTGAACTTAGCCTTGCTTCCATCTAGCCAATAATACTGCGAGGGGCAACCTGGGCTTGTGGTCCCTGCCCTGTAGCGCTGTGGGCCTCGACGGAGCCCAATCCAGAAGTCTCCATCTCCAGCCTGTAGCTGCTTTATGAACCTTTCTATAAGTCGCTGCTCGCTTTCTGTTTCAATGCTGAGCAGCTCGCCTCCATCCAACCTACAGGCCTGCCTGGCCTCCTCAAAGGTCAGCCTCCGCCTGCTGTCCTGGATGTAGGACACCTTGTAGCATGGGCGCTCTGTCCCACGCCGACAGATCCTTTGGCCTGGACAGCACAGTCAGTATCAAGGAGATAAAAAGATGATAAGTGTGTGTTTGTTTGTTTTCTGAAGACTTGCTGTAGCAAGCACATAGCAGGAAGATTATAAACATCTTACAGTACCCTGGATAAATTAGGAACCACAATTTGTGGGCTGCATTGCTTTGCCAAAGTCACATTTTTCTGCAACATTTGTAGAGTAAACTATATGGTGGTGAAATTAATATAAAAACCTATATTTTAAAGGCTTTACAACGTTTTTTCTGCACTGGTCTTGAGCCAATCAAAACAGTTTTGATGCTGTAGTGCCCTGTGACACAGAGTGAAAAGAAAAATTAAGTCTGAACATCACTGAAGTGCAGTGGTTTGCTGAGGTGACACAGTGAGTGCATTAATACTGACTGAATTAACTTATTTTATTGAGTTTCACAATAAATTAATCTTGATTGTCTAAAGGCATGTTTTATAAATATGGCAGCTAGTATACACATAGTAGACAATAGCCCAGTGGCCCTTAACTTTTATGGACTTGCGAGCCCTTAATGTAAGGTCACATCTACCCGTGACCTCCTCATGACATCATAACAGCCTGCATAGAGGAGTTGAGAACATGAGATTGTGATGTAGGAAAAAAAAACATTTTTCCTTTTCTGGACTAAATATTGCAACATAAAACTGTTGCAATATTTAGTTTTTTATTTGTTATATGTAATGATCCTGTATGGTGATCCCTGTTATGGTCGGAAACCAGGCAGTAAACTAATGAACACTCTCAGACTTATTCCCTGTGTGATCTATTGCTGACTTCATCTCCATAAGCAGCATAATGGAAGCCTGTAAAATAAGTTGCTCTGATCTGGGCATACTTTGGTAGCTAATAGAAAAATGAATGCTGCCATTTTCATTCCTCTTAGCAGTGTTATCTTTATACTGGTCTATTACTATTAGTGATATGTTTATTTTATAACAGCATTAAAGCTGTTATGAAAGCAACTATGTGTCCTCCTCGTTCCAAATATAGCCCATGATCGTAAACACTCCCATCGACGTTCATTTATCACCACATCTGGCTCCGTGCTGGGGAGATTGACCGCGATAACGCACATAAACGCGTCTGCGTGATCAGCCTGGTAAAAACTTTGCAAGTCCTTTAAACTATCGAAAACACAAATATAAGATTTGCTTTACAACAAATGCCCTGCATGCGTGGAATGCAGACAAACAAACAAAACACTTTATCGGTTAAAACATGTCTTACTTTGAAAAAAAATCCCCCACCTCATTCAGCAGAGTTTAAAATGTGTGTTTTATTCTTAAGGGGTAAATTCTTACCATTTATTTTAGAAGCGGATCCAGGGTGGAACAACACGGCGATAACAGTGCCAAATAACTTCATAAGATCCATCTCCACATGTTCACCCGAATGTGCTGGACGATTGCTATGACAAACAAACTAGTTTGTTGGGAAGAGAATTTCAGATTCCCCCAAACTTCAGATAGAGGCGGCAGAACAGTCTGTCCTGCCAGAAGTGGGTCGACCAGTGAAGGCGTGCATATGGCGTC